ATACTCACACACACACAGGCACACACACACACTCACGGGCCACCAAATCAGCTCCAACCCTAACCCTATTGGATCATCTCAAAACCAATGGAGCAGATCCAGGGACACATGCAGCACATGTTGTCGTTGGGTGGCAGGGACTGGGAGGGTGTGTGTGTGTATGTGTGTGTGAGAGAGAGAGAGGGAGAACAGAGAGAGAGAGAGAGAGAGAGAGAGAGAGAGAGAGAGAGAGAGAGAGAGAGAGAGAGAGAAGAGAGGACCCCACTGACGATTTTTATGCACTATGCGGTCCCGTTCTGTGAGTTTGTGTGGCCTACCACTTCACAGCTGAGCCATTGTTGCTCCTAGACTTTTCCACTTCACAATAACGGGACATACAGTTGACCGGGGCAGCTCTAGCAGGGCAGAAATTTGACAAACTGACTTGTTGGAAAGGTGGCATCCTATGACGGTGCCACGTTGAAAGTCACTGAGCTCTTCAGTAAGGCCATTCTACTGCCAATGTTTGTCTATGGAGATTGCATGGCGGTGTGCTCGATTTTATACACCTGTCAGCAACAGGTGTGGCTGAAAAAGCAGAATCCACTAATTTGAAGGGGGTCCACATACCTTTGGCCGTGTAGCGTATTCTTCAATACAAGATGGGGCCGATAGACATGGACGCCCTGTTCCTGGCTCCTATGCAACTTTTCAGTATTATTTTTTTGTGTGTGTGTTATTTCTCACATTATTTGGTCAGAAGGTTTTTTGCATTATTACCTACAGCCGAAAATAACTTTTGGCCATTAGATCGGCGGTCACTCACCAGCATTTCGACCATAAATATGACTCTACCTGAATTGGATCCTTTGTTCATACCCCCCAAGGCAATTCCACTCATCCCAGAGGCTGCTCCAAGATGCCAACGGAGAAGAGGTATACGGAGTGGGCTCTTAGTTCGACACAGGAGGCGTGCATACCATCCACCGCTTCCGAGTATATTACTTGCTAATGTTCAGTCCCTAAACAATAAAGTAGACGAGCTCAGGGTGACGATCTCCTTCCAGAGAGGCATCAGGGACTGTAACGTAATCTGTTTCACGGAATCATGGTTCTCTCTGGATAAACTGTCCCTGTCCATACAGCCATCTGGGTTCTCAGTACAACGCGTGGACAGGAAGAAATAACTGTCTGGGAAAAAGAAAGGCGGAGGTGTTTCATGATTAACTACTCATGGTGTTATTGTGGTAATGTACAGGAACTGAAGTCCTTTTGTTCACCCGACCTGGAATACCTTACAATCAAATGCCGACCACATTACCTCCCGAGAGAATTACACTGGACTTTGTGCAAACTGGAAACCGCATATCCTGAGGCTGCATTTATTGTAGCTGGGGACTTTAATAAAGCAAATCTGAGGAAAATGCTACCGAAGTTTTATTAACACATTGCCTGCGCTACTCACGTCTCAAAAACTCTCGACCATTGCTACTCTTCCTTCCGGGATGGCTACAAGGCCCTCCCCCGCCCTCCCTTTGGCAAATCAGATCACACCTCCATTCTGCTCCTCCCTTCCTATAGGCAGAAACTCAAACAGGAAGTATCCGTGGTAAGGTCAGTTCAACGTTGGTCTGACCAATCGGAATATATGCTTCAAGATTGTTTTGATCATGCGAACTGGGATATGTTCCGGGTTGCCTCTGAGAATAACATTGATGTATACACTGAAATGGTGACTGAGTTCATCAGGAAGTGCAAAGGGGATGTTGTTCACACTGTGATGATTAAAACCTATCCAAACCAAAAACCGTAGATAGATGGCAGCATTCACGCAAAACTGAAAGCGGGAACCACTGTATTTAACCACGGCAAGGTGACTGGGAACATGGACGACTACAAACAGTCCAGTTATGCCCTCCGGTAGGCAATGAAATGGGCAAAACGTCAGTACAGAGACAAAGTGGAGTCACGATTCAATGGCTCAGACATGAGACGTATGTGGCAGAGACTCCAGACGATCACAGATTATAAAGGGAAAACCAGACACGTCGCGGACACTGACGTCTTGCTCCCGGACAAGCTAAACACCTTCTTTGTCCGCCTACTATCACAAGACATTCAAACCTCTCACTGGCAAAATACAAAAATACAAATACAAAATACAAACACTGCTGATGAGGGACACTGTCGTTCACGAGGACGGTGAGCTCTCGTTCTCCGTGGTCAATGTGAGTAAGACAAGCGTGTTAACCCTCGCATGGCTCCCGGCCCAGACGGCATCCTTACCCGCGTCCTCAGAGCATGTGCAGACCAGCTGGCTGGAGTGTTTTACGGACATATTCAATCTCTCCCTATCCCAGTCTGCTGTCCCCACTTGCTTCAAGATGTCCAGCATTGTTCCTGTACCCAAGAAAGCAAAGGTAACTGAACTAAATGACTATCGCCCCATAGCACTCACTTCTGTCATCATGAAGTGCTTTGAGGCTAGTTAATAAGGATCATATCACCTCTACCTTACCCGACACCTTAGACCCACTGCAATTTGCATACCACCCAAATAGATCCATGGATGACGCAATCTCCATTGCACTGCACACTGCCCTATCCCATCTGGACAAGAGGAATACCTATGTAAGAATGCTGTTCCTTGACTACAGCTCAGCCTTCAACACCATAGTACCCTCCAAGCTCATCACTAAGCTCAGGGCCCTGGGTCTGAACCCCGCCCTGTTCAACTGGGTCCTGGACTTCCTGACCTCCACTACGCTGATCCTCAACACAGGGGCCCCACAAGGGTGCGTGCTCAGCCCCCTCCTTTACTCCCTGTTCACCCATGACTGCTTGACCACGCACGTCTCCAACTCAATCATTTTGTTTGCAGACGACACAACAGTAGTAGGCCTGATTACCAACAACGGCGAGACAACCTTCAAGGTGGAGATGAGGGCCCTGGTGGAGTGGTGCCAGGAAAATAACCTCTCCCTCAACGTCATCAAAACGAAGGAGCTGATCGTGGACTTCAGGAGACAGCAGAGGGAGCACGCCCCTATCCACATCGACAGGACCACAGTGGAGAAGTGAAAAGCTTCAGGTCCCTCTGCGTACACATCACTGACATTCTGAAATGGTCCATCCACATAGACAGTGTGGTGAAGAACCTCAGGAGGCTGAAGAAAGTTGGCTTGGCCCCTAAAACCCTAACAAACTTCTACAGATGCACCATTGAGAGCATCCTGTCGGGCTGTATCACCTCCTGGTAGGGCAACTGCACCGTCCTTAACCTTAGGGCTCTCCAGATGGTGGTGCGGTCGGCCAAGTGCATCACCAGGGGCACACTGCCTGCCCCCCAGGACATCTACAGCACCCGGTGCCACAGGAAGGCCAAGAAGATCATGGACTTCAACCACCGGCGCCACGGCCTGTTCACCCTGCTACCATCTAGAAGGCGGGGTCAGTACAGGTGCATCAAAGCTGGGACCCAGAGACTGAAAAACAGCTATCTCAAGGCCAGACAGTTAAATAGTCACCACTGGTCTGCATCCGCCCAGTACCCTGCCCTAATCTTTAGTCACTGTCACTAGCCGGCATACCACCCGGTACTCGACCCTGCACCTTAGAGACTGCTGCCCTATGTACATAGTCATCAAATACTGGTCACTTTAATAATGTTTACATACTGTTTTACAGACTTCATATGTATATACTGTATTCTAGTCAAAGCCTATTTAACTATTGTTGTACATATACTACAGATATACTACATATTCTATCCATATACTGTCCATATCTATGTCCCATCATATACATATATATATATTTATATTCCAGACTCTGACATTGCTCATCCTAATATTTCTCAATTCCATGATTTTACTTTTTAGATTTGCATGTTTTGTTTTATATGGTTAGATATTACTGCACTGTTGGGAGCTAGGAACATAAGCATTTCGCTACACAATAACATCTGCTAAATATGTGTATGCGACCAATACACGTTGATTAGATTTTTATTTGAATTGTCGTTTCATATTTGTGAGCTACAACATTGCTTTGATGTTGCATTGCCTGGTTGTAGTTACAGTGACCGGCCACTAGGCCTACATGTATTCTGCTTTCATTCCACTGTTTATTCGCTACGGATCCGGCGTGGCTGTAACATGCATACTCCAGTCCGGGTTTTCCTCTGTGCCGTCGGGCTACTCACAGCCTCTAGCTGGTTTTTACTAAACTCTTGTCCTGATATCACTCCGCTGGCATGGAGGAGGATCGGTCTTGATTATTGTGATGGTGGCAGTGATCAGCTACTAGCGACCAGCCGAGAGATCACGGCCATGTCTTGAGGATTTCGATGTGCACCAGTTGACGGGACCCGGTTACCCATCACGACAACTCTTCTTCACGTTCAGCTTAGGGATTTTTACCGACCAAACCAATGAAATGCAGCAAGTTCACGGAGCAACTCCGGAGCCCCTTCGGTTCAAACAGCAAAACTTTTTCACAAAGGACAACATAATAAAACAACGGCGAGCTCGAGGCAGCGTCGGTCTGTTGTGTGTGTGAGTGGAGTTCGAGTGGGACTCGGAGGTAGTGATGATCGCCTGTAGCTTAATATCCGGTTGTGTCCTATGGAGTTATTACCTTTACTACTAGTCTGGCCGCGGTTGTTGTGTTGATTTACTGGTCAACCGACCGACTAGCTCGTTCTTGAAGCCTTCGTGCTGGGCTACGGGATATTGTTATCGGTGTTTTTCCATCAACGGGGCAAGGTGATATTTGAAAACAGTGTTGAATGGTGGAGCCACCGCGTCCTGTCCCGAAGGAGGGAACAAGAATCAACAACGACCACCGTTTGTTTACTGTCCTTACGGTCATTTGAATCACCCGGTCCCCGTCTTGTTCATCATTTAACATAACGACCCTCTCCCCTTCCCAGTAACATTTAGCCTAGAAGACGAAGAGACTACTCGGAGGCTTGAGGGGAAGAAAAACTTATTCCAAAATACTAGCCTTTCGGGTGAATGATGGGGGACTTTGCAACCCCCGCTGCAGCGAACGGCAGTAACATTTGCATCAACAACAATGCCATGGCGAGCGGCATGAACCCGGGTGGAAACCCCAACAATGTGGGCATTCCCAAACACAGCACGGTAGTGGAGCGGCTACGGCAGAGGATAGAGGGGTGCAGGCGGCACCATGTCAACTGTGAGAACCGTTACCAGCAAGCCCACGCCGAGCAGCTGGAGATAGAACGGAGGGAGACGGTGAGTCTTTACCAGCGGAGCTTGGAGCAGAGGGCGAAGAAATCTGCAAACAGCAAGCATCAAAATAAACAGCAAGACCCCGAATCGGCGTCTTCGACCGAGCAGAGGAACAACACACTTATAGCGGTAAGTTAAAGAGACAGTCACCAGCCCAAGATGCCCGTTCTTTAGTCTACATAGTACCCCCTCAAAGTTGGGCTACAACTCAGCCGCCCCCGCTGGAAAAGTTGTTGAGAACATTCTTCTAACTACGCTCAGTGAATTGCTTTGAACTCACTACGGTTGTTTCAAAACACTGTGCCAACAAGCGCGTGTGTTTACAAAGAACGCAATCCACTAACTTCCCCCTTGCAGCCAACAACTAACTTTGCGCCTTGTTGTATTTTCAGAAAATGTCTTGCTGGCTGTGGTAGCCCTTTTGAGGGCAATGTTGCTTTGCTTTTAGACCAAGCTAACGTTAGCTTTGGAAGCTAAGTCTTTGGGAAAAGTGTCCGTAGCTAGTTGGTTGAACACATTTTCCGGGACTACTTGATAGGCGGATTACTTTTGAATTGACGACGAAGTTCCACACGAGTTCTTTGTTTTGGTAGCTAAACTGTTACATTTTCTCGGCGGAAATTTGTTGCAACATTGTTTCCCTACTCAGCAGACATTCTCGCCCACAGTTGACCACATTGTTGGCAACATTTGTCAGTTGTTACAGTTCAGCAAATTTCCAGCTATTCTTCAAATATGAATCTCATAACGGTTGAGAGTACTATAGTAGCCTATATTTCTCCAGTCGTGATTTCTACTTGACAGTCTCGTCTGGGTGTATGAGAGCGGAACAGACTTGGAATAGAGGAACCTACTAGAACTAGGATACTAGACAGCTTGATAAAAAAAGCTCTCCGACAGGGACGTAATAAGCTTCAATGCTACAGTCTGAACTATAGTTTAAAGGGGAGGGGGGGGGGGGGGGGGTTACTACACTATTATGTGGATAGGCTACTTTTGCTTTTGATAGAGCTAGATTAACAGACAATGGCCAATGCATTTTTATGTTTTCCGACTATCATGAAACGTACGTTTTTACATGCATACTAATAATTCGATATTAAACTGATTATGGCAGTAGGCAGTTTATGCAATAGTCGTTTTATCTTAATCGGCTTAATGTCAACATCGAAGTAACCATACGCCGATTAAATACCTGGTTTTCTGAGCAATCTTTAGGATTATTAGGACATGTAAACGCCTTAATATAATAATCGACGATCCAGCAGTGTATTTGATCTGCGCATGTGCTAGCACCAGCCGAGGGAGGCGCCCTCTTTTAGCACGAGTGAAGTGAGTTCGGAACAGCTAGAAGTAGTTTTCACATACAAACTTTATGTCAGAACTATGTTGCCTAAAATAACATGCTCGCTATGGTTTAACGTTTATTTTGATTGGCAATTTTCTGGATTTATCAGAGTGCCATCAGGTAGCCTGATTTCAGATGTCATGTAAACAGGATTATTAGGGAAATCGTTCTTGCAAAGCATGTAAACGTTTTAATCGAACTATCATATTAAATCGCATTATTGTGTGTACTGCGCATGTAACCACACTGACAAACGCACTATTTTGTGTCAGTCAAGGTCCGTGTTGTGTAGACTTTTGCGTTGTGATCTGTCTTTGGGATCACGACTTTAAACCATAAGCTTCTGTGAAAAGGAGAAACCAATAGAGTAAATAATCTCTCTCCTTGTTCATTCACTCCTCTCTACAACAACGAGTCGGAATGCGCCGACATTGCCCCTTTTGTTGCAGCGGTGGCCAATATGCCTTTGAAATGCTAAGTAGTATCTCGTTGGCGCTCTCATTTCATTTCTGGAGGCAACAAACTAAGTAGCAAACAAGAAAGCAGATAACGCTACTCCCCCTCGCGGTGCCGTTTTTAGGAGTCGTATATCGAGCAGAGGCAGCGGTGATTGCAATAGAAAAACGACCTACCGCTTCGTGTGGACATTTAACCGAACCGCCCATTAGCTGGTCTTAAGGAAACAGTAGCACCATTTTATTTTCGCTCTCTTCAATCTCTTTCCCAGCCTGAGCCCAGGAATAAACCAACTACCAGGCGGCAGCTAGATGGCTGTATGTAGTCACTCTATATGTTGCAAAGCAAACCAAGGCTGTCAGTAGCTTACAAAACTATACATTCATGTAACGGTTACTGTGTGAGTAGAGTTGACACTGGGTTTTAGGGTTCTCTCCTTTTGCCTCACACCAGGGCTCTAGGCTGACCTTTCTTTACAAGGAGCACTATGAAAAATATTTGAGGTAATAAAGCTACAATCATTCATTTATCTTGGTACGCTTGTGCTCCCAAAATAAAAATTCCAGGTTGCACAGCAAAATATTTAGGCGCACATGCGATTTGAACTGATCGCACGGTAGAGCCCTGCAAACGGGGTGCGTCCCAAATGGCACCCAGTTCCTTATGGCTCTGGTCAAAAGTAGTGCACTAAATAGGGAATAGGGTGCCATTTGAGGCGGAACCCAGGTTCTCTCTCTCTCTCGCCCCATAAGGTCCCAGACACACCCGTGGCGAGGCATGACAGCCCCTGTAATTACGGTAAACGTTAGAGAGCTATTAGAGTGAGAGGGAGTCCTTTTGGATTTCATGCTGCCTTTTCCCACCAGCCACCACTATTACAGGCTTAGGAAGGTCTCCTCTGTGGTAGTCTCTTCTCACAGCCGGTGAGTCCTGAGTCTGGAGAGAGAGAGACCACCTCTTTTGAGGTGAGCGTAAGGGTAGACTGCCTCAGTGCAAGTAGTCACATAAACAGCCTACTACCATGTCTGTGGATCATGTCCTCAGCAGGCTATTTGCTTTTTCAAGCGGTCTAATACTTTTTTGGATATATCCTAAGCTACAGTATCTAGGCAGTGTATGTTGTTGTTGTTGTTATTATGAGTAGTAGAGTATGAAATTGTATACAGCGAGTGACACCAATAATAATTAAAATAACATCAGCTCATGTCGGAGAGCAGATTCTCTCTCCTCTCCAGTCTACACATCTCTCTCTCTCTGTCTGTCTGTGTCAGCCCCTCATTTCTCAGCCAGAGGTGAAGTGTTATCACTCTACCATTTTCTTTTCTTTGTCTGTCTTGTTTTTCTCACAGGGAGGTTCCATCACTCATTCCACAGCGGTGTGTGTTTAATCTGACTCGAGAGCTGTGTGTTATTGTTGGGTTATGGGCTTGTAGTGTAACCGTCAGGTTATAACTAGTCTATTAAGACTCAAGAAGGAGTTATAAACACTTTATTACCAGTCTACACATTATATAAATGTTCAGGGTTACATATCTGTGTGTGTAGTGTTTCATTAGACACAGACATGCAAGCTCAGGCCGGAGTTAGTATTTGGCCCACTACTCCTTTCCTTGGCATGCACTCTAGTATGGAATGACACTCACACGACACACACACACTCTCCTAGCAGAAGGGCTTGAGTGTGGGCGGCTGAGTTTCATGAATTTTCTGTCCCACTGAGGTTTTCCTCTTCTCTTCCCCCCCCCTCCTCCCCTCTGTCTCCCTACTTCTGCTCTATCTAACTCCTCTACTAGCTCTCTACTACCTTCCTACCTTCCACTATGCTCTACTCTCTAATCTACTCTCTTCCTAACTCTCCCACTACCTCTCTAACCACTTTCCCTCCTACCTCTTCCTATCTACCTTCCTCCTCTCCTTCCTCCCTCTCCTATCTAACTCTCTCCTACTCTCCTCCTCTCCAATGTCCCTCTAACTCTCCTCCTCTCCAATGTCCCTAAACTCTCCTCCTACCTCCCTCTCCAACGTGTCCCTAACTCTCCCCTATCCTCCCCTCTCCAATGTCCCTAACTCTCCTCCTATCCCCCCTCTCCATGTCCCTAACTCTCCATCCTATCCTCCCTCTCCAATGTCCCTAACTCTCCTCCTCTCCTCCCTCTCCAATGTCCCTACTCTCCTCCATCCTCTCCCCCTCTCCAATGTCCCTAACTCTCCTCCTATCCCCCCTCTCCAATGTCCCTAACTCTCCTATCCTATCCTCCCTCTCCACATTAAGTCCCTAACTCTCCTCCTATCCTCCCTCTCCAATGTCCCTAACTCTCCTCCTATCCTCCCTCTCCAATGTCCCTAACTCTCCTCCTATCCTCCCTCTCCAATGTCCCTAACTCTCCTCCTATCCTCCCTCTCCAATGTCCCTAACTCTCCTCCTATCCTCCCTCTCCAATGTCCCTAACTCTCCTCCTCTCCTCCCTCTCCAATGTCCCTATCTCCCCTTCCCCCTCATGTCTACTCTCCTCCCTCTCCATCCCTCTCCTCCCCTCTATCCTCCCTTCAATTCCTAACCGGTGGTGTGATCTGCCTCATTGTCCCTAACTCTCCTGCGGACCTCGCTGCCCACATGTCTATACTCTAACCCAGTGAGCTGGCATGGAGCACACACACACACACACACACACACACACACACTGAGTAGGCCCATGACGCTGAGTAGGCCCATGACTTTGACGTCACACACACGCAGCGTACAACCCGCCAAATTCCCCTCAGTCACAACAGGGCTCAGAGCTGTTGTGTTCTCTCTCTCTTCCCATTCTCCTGTTTTCTGTCTGTCTCTGTCTCTGACATTCCTCTCTCTCTCTGGCTCTCCCCTCCTCCTTTCCGTGTCTCTCTCTGTTTCATATTCTCTCCTTCTCCCCCCATTCCTCTCTACGTCTCTCTCTGTTTCAACCCCCCCCCCCCCTCTCCTTCTCTCCCTCTCCCTCTGGATGTTTTCAATTTGGCCAGGCTATGTGACCACATTCCCCTCCTCCCAGGCATGTTCACATGTTCATCAGACTGCCCTGCACCCTGTACTAGGCCTCTCTCCACAGCCTCACACTGTGTACACAGAGAAGTGTGTGTGTCACTGTGTGTGTGTGTGTGGGTGTGTGTGTGTGTGTGTGTCCCTGTGTGTGTGTGTGTGTCTTAGTGTGTTGGGTGTGTGTGAGTAATGTTATGTTCTTCTCTAGAATACCTCTGTGGATAGTTGTGCCAACAATGGCCAAAGTCCCAGCAGAGAAGAATGTGTATTGAAGACGTACCCGTCTACTTGCTAGGCTATATAGAGCCCAGGCCTAACTATTATAAGACATCTGGAGATTTCCACACAGGCCTGTGTCTGGGAGGATTGAGTGGATGCTTTCTTGTTCTACAGTATGGCTTTGTTGACCCATAAGTTCCCTGGTTGTGTAAGACTGTGTGTGTTGAATGTAACAAGCGTGAAAACGTACTGCGCGTTTTTTGCGTGTTCCTTATGCGCTTGAAGACACTCTGTTGTTCATGTTGTCGTGATTGTTGAACCGTAGCCACATCACAGGAGAATAGAGTTATTCATGTGACTTTAGTTGTTCTATAAAC